TCAGTTGTCAGTTTTGTGATGCATCTCTGAAGCAGAAAATTCTGGGAGAAGTGATGGGCAGCTTTACCCTGAGGCCAGGCCTTCACTAAATTAACTTGATTTATGTTGATTGAATTAAAAAGTAAGTATGCTTTGTAGTGTCTGTGCTGTGCAGCTATTGACCCAGCTGAATTTATGACTCTAATCTTCTAGGTCGAAATACTGGACTCAAAAACCAAAGAACAGCTCTGTTTTCTTGACAAGGTAAGCAGATTTTGCCTCAAACAATCAATGACAAATGACAGTGTCTGCTGCCAAAACTTAATGGTATATCGTTTTATTTTGTTTTTAATGCAGGTTGAACCTCATTCAAGCGTAGGTGACATTAAGAGTTTGTTTCATAAGTCATGTAAGTTTTACCCCACAGTGTCTTTTTGATATTGTAATTTTACCAAGTCAAATATGAAATATTGGTCACATTTTTCCTCAGCTGCGCGTAAGTGTCCTGGTCAGCCTGTCAAGTTTTATTTTGCTATATTTATTTATTTATTTATAATGATTTATTTTTTGAGTAGTGCGTGGACATTAAATAAGCCTACTTTCGCTAAAATAGTCAATTTAAAATGTACAAAACAATCGGCCTAGCATCAATATGAACACTGTAACAATACTATAGTAATAAAATGCTTATGTTATTTTCAGTAAAATCGATACCTGAGACGCTTTTTCGCGGTGTGAGACGAGAAACCGGAATCGGTTTTAGCAAATCTATTGGGAATCTATTGGCTGAAAGGATTTTTAACGGGGTACCTGATTGGTTGCTTTTACCTGGACGAGTTGACTAATAAACTGCGTTGCTATGGAGTGACTGACTACTAAATCCCGCGATTGACCAATCACAATCAAGTATTATAGAGCGCGTGCAATAATGAACAATATGTATTTGGTTTGAAATAGTATTGTAGAACAGGTATTAATAAATGTAGGCTAATGTTTAACATATGTGACCCTGGACCACAAAACCAGTCATAAGGGTCAATTTTGTGAAATTGAGATTTATACATCATCTGAAAGCTGAATAAATAAACCTTCCATTGATGTATTGTTTGTTAGGATAGGACAATATTTGGCCGAGATACAACTATTGAACAACTATACAACTATGAAAATCTGGAATCTGAGGGTGCAAAAAAATCAAATTAAAAAAATCGCCTTTAAAGTTGTCCAAATAAAGTCCTAAGCAATGCATATTACTAATCAAAATACTTTTTAGTATAATGTTTGTGTCTATATTATTCTTGAATTTAGTGTTTAATTTATCCTCTTTTTATGACAGTGGGGGTAGAGCTTGGTATTTGGTACATAATTTGCATAATATTTGTATTTTTTTCTTTCCCACTGTAAGATCCCAAATGGTATCCAGCTAGACAAGCCCTGAGGCTGGACCCCAGTGAGTATGAGGAACACCTTTTATATTTAATCAAAATGTCATAACTTTTTTATTTTTTATAACCCGTTACACTCGGATGTACGTCTATACAGAAAAAAGGTGTTGTTACTTCCATTGCTTCATGACAGTTTCAGTGTTACAGCTAAAATATCAGTCCTGTTGCTTTTCTCAGGTCTGTTGCTTTAGAGATAACCCAAAAAAAATATTTAAAGGACTTGTTTATTCCTTGGGTAGAAATGGAATCATAAAAAATCTTTCATCTGCTCCATTTCCACCAATTGCTAAACCCACACACTGAACTGAGGGATATCATTAATCTCTGCTGCTTTTAAAAACTAACCAGATGAAGACTTGGTAGACAGGATGTTACACAAACATTGTGGATGAAGGCAGCATTTTTCAGGTTTCAGAAAGCAAGATAAGTGCTATCTGCCAAGAGGACCAAAACCTACACTTACCTAAAACTTTAACACTGGCTGTAACAAATCTAGTTTTGAGTTTTCGGTTTTTAGAAGAAAAAGCACTGAGAGATGATGACGTGCTACAGAATCTCCCTGTCGGGACCTCAGCGACCTTGTATTTCAGAGACCTTGGCCCACAACTGGGATGGACGATGGGAAGAGTGGTTTGCAAAATGTAACTCTGAGAGTATCAAACATACAATCTTTAAAAGCGTCACTGCTCTGCAGGTTTTTCTGGCGGAGTACATGGGTCCCCTTCTGATAAATCTCCTCTTCTATGTCCGCGTCCCGTACATCTATAACCACAAATACACCATCTCCAGCTCTCATCATGTGGTCAAGTACGTTCTTCAAAATAATGACCTTTTGTGCTCCACGGAGGAAATACATTTTTCGAATGACACAAGGATGAGTAAATAACAGTTTTTATTTTCTCTTCAGTTTGGCTTGTGCTTGTCACTCTTTCCACTATATCAAGAGGCTATGTGAAACAATCTTTGTGCATCAATTTTCTACTGGCACGATGCCTCTCAGAGCCATTATAAGGGTGAGTGTTTGGTCACACTGGTCTGGTTTGCTACTGTGTCAAATGAAAATTAGTCTTGAGAAGTAATTTGTCTACTTCAGAAAGATATTAAACCAGTTATTTAATGCAGTTCAGTTATTTTCTGAGCAATTTGACAAACTGAACAATACTATTATGATTAGGAAAACTACCAGTGTTTCCTCAAAGCTGAAGCTAATTCACTGAATTCACAGAATTGTGCTTATTACTGGGGTTTTGCAGCTTGGCTAGCATACTGCATTAACCATCTTCTCTACACTCCACCATGTGAGTACTAGCAGAGGCAAACCTATTTAATAATCATGTTAATTTAATACATTAAACTTGTTTTTATGTTTTACAGCAGAGACACAGGTTAACTATGCACTAATTATTTTTGTGGTATGTAATGTTTCTGGTTTAATAAACATACCACATAGGTGTCCAAACCTCTGGTACCACTTTAAAAATCTAATGTAACCTATTATGTATGGACCACATTCTGTATTAAAGATAAATTAACAAACATGATGTATATTGTTTGTATTCCAGTTATGTGAGGCAGGAAATTTTTCCATCCACTGGTCACTGAACAGTTTAAAATGTGAAGGTGGGTGTATTATGTCAAATTTCTATGGCATAACAGATCAGGATACTTGTGTGTTTGAGCCAATTTTTTGTTGTTGTTTAAAGGTGCAAAATGTCAGCGATTCCCACATCCATCTAAAAACCCTTTTACGTGGCTCTTTTACTTTGTATCATGTCCCAACTATACATATGAGGTAACAGCACCATTGCCATAATCAAATATATAACACTTTCTACTACCTCTGACTGATTCATCAGCTCTTTGCTTAAAATATTCATCAGGTGGGTGCTTGGGTGGGCCTGTCCATCATGACCCAGTGCGTGCCAACTTCCATCAAACTTTGTGATTTTGATATTGGATATATATACTGAGCTACAAAAATATATATTATTTAAAATATATTTATTTATTTATTTTATTTATTTAGTCATTTAGCAGACGCTTTTATCCAAAGCGACTTACAAATGAGGACAATAGAAGCAGTCAAATCTAACAAAAGAGCAACAATATATAAGTGCAAATGACAAGTCTTGGTTAGCCTAGAGATGCGAGCAGTTAAATATATAAATATATTAAAGTTGTTCATTTACATTTTTACTGACATTTTTTGCTATTGGTATTTTGTTAAAAAAAAAAATTATATATATATATAATTTATTAATATAGAAAAATGAAAATGTACAATATTTGATCTTATTTTTTTAAACTAATGTATTTATTTTATTTTTTGCAGTGGCTCTCTTCACACTTGTAGGTTTTATTCAAATGACCATCTGGGCCAAAGGAAAACACAAAAATTACACCCGGGAGTTTAAGGACTACCCAAACCTCCGCATTTCAATCCTCCTTTTCATCCTCTGACATTCATATGAACCAATTTCAGGTCAAAATCCAGAGATATTATGATTTCAGCTGAGAGAACTAGGACACATCTGCACAGCTGCATGTAAATGAGGCTGATTTATGACACCCTCTGGGAAGGATTATGAAGTTAAATCCGCTTTTCAACAATATCTGATAGTTATCATGCAAGATGATGTCTAACATTGTTGTATTTACAATGGTATGCCACTTGGGAATTTAAATAAGCAGATTTGTAGGAATTTGTGTTGACAACATATTTCTGTTGGTTAAATCATTTCCACAACTATCCATGTGCAAAATACAGTACTCTACGTCTGTAATCCAACTACTTCAGCATGAAAGAAAATAGTTTTTCTTAAACAGAGGAAGACACTGAGTTACACTGAACTTTTAGGGTCAAATAAAAATCATTTGTTTTACTTGAAATCTAAATAACTGGTTCAAATGGTTATAAAATATCTTGAGTGATACCATTTAATAAATATTTCTAGACTGTACTGATGATGGTAATATTATCGTATTCATTCTTGACAAGGTGGACAGTGAGCAATAACATTTTTAATAGTATTATTTTTACAAGAAAGAAAGAAAGAACAAAAAAATCAGCTTTGTACAATTCCTTGCTACAAGCCATTCCTGGTCAGCAAATTACAAAACTCAACATTTAACATTTGGTTAATTACAACATTTGTTTGCTACACTTTTCTAACTTGGCAAGAATTATTAAAGCCGTGACTTGCAATGCATCACAATGCAATATGCATTTCAATAGCAATAGCCTTTGCAATAAAATCTATTGCATCAATTGATTTGTTTTTAAAACAAAATTCTTTGTATAAAAAAAACAAAAAAAAAGGTGACATTGACATAATAAAGTGCTACAGTATTCATAAGACTAACTCAGTCCAGTTCTGACTGTATTTTGTTGTGGTTTGGTTGCATTTCTATATAAAAAAAAAAAAAAGGCCAAGCAAGGGAGGAGTCTCAGACTGTGTTTTGTAAAGGAGAAAAAATAATCATCTCTTCTTTTATGACTCTTTTGAGCGCCCTGCCAGATGACTCCAACTGACCTGCTCAAATGAGCCTCTTCAGTAAAGATTTCAAGCTTTCGTTTTCACTGGAAAGACTCTCATGTCCCGCCGGGCACCGGCTGCCCTCGGGTGCAGCACAATGGTATCATCTTCTCCGGATTGCTGCTTTGCGAAATTCACAAACACCTACAGGAAGTGAAACAAAGAGAGCGAGACTACATAAAGAGCCAAAATGCCCTCGTTCCAGTGCATTTGTCACATGCAGGCTTGGAAACAAATGGTGGTGGTCACAAGATAGATGGATGCTTGTGGCAATCTGACCCTGAACTGGACTCCTCTATTCTGTGCTTGTCTAGTTTGGGATATCCTGTCTCAGAAAGAGGAGAGTGCCAATACTGCTGTTTTGGACTACATAAAGGGAGTCATGCATTTTACAAGCTTAAATGTATCGCATAAGGAGATACTGACAAATATGTAAAAAATCTAAGTGGTACAGGTTTATCTAGGTCAAAAGGGTCACATGAAATACCTGGTCCAGTGTTGTCTGGGACACTGAGTAATCTTCGATATTTAGCATTTCCTTGTTGGCCAAGACTAGCTGGAAGATTTTGGCCAGGGAGGAAGAAGCGATCTCGTACTGTAGAGTATTATAGTGTTTCTCTCTCTGAATGCAGCCTGGAAATGTGCTCTCCATAAATGCTTCGGCCGGGTTCAGATCTGGTACTGTGCCCGCTTTGGCTGCTCTGATTTTCATGGTGACAACATATCCATCACCAAATCTGCAGGGAAAACATTATAAGTGATGTTCAGAGAATAGATATGCAAATACAAAAGATTTTGGACTGTGGAAAATGTATGCCACTCAAAATTTGTATGTGAACATAAGTGAAAATTTGTGATTTTACTTGTATTTGAGGTGCTGGATTGTGCCAAGACACTTAAATGTTCCGTTCACCATGATGGCCAGTCGTGTGCAGAGAGCTTCACATTCCTCCATGCTGTGGATTTAAAAAAATACTATTTATTATACTCTCTTAAAGATATACATATATACAGTGGGTACGGAAAGTATTCAGACCCCCTTAAATTTTTCACTCTTTGTTATATTGCAGCCATTTGCTAAAATCATTTAAGTTAATTTTTTTTCCTCATTAATGTACACACAGCACCCCATATTGACAGAAAGAAACAGAATTGTTGAAATTTTTGCAGATTTATTAAAAAAGAAAAACTGAAAAATGCTCAGTATTTAGTAGAAGATATATATATATAATACATAAGACCGCAAGAAATAGCAATTCTCACAAATAATAAATTAAGTTTTGTGTTGTATTTTCAAATGAAACAAATGAAACATAATACTGAACTTGAAATTCACCACAAAATAATTACATATATATATATTAGGGCTGTCAGTCGATAAAATATTTTTATCTAATTAATTACATGATGTGTCGATTAATTAATCTAATTAATCACAAATTACATTTGGTAGTGAAAATACCCCCAAAAGATTATTTAAAGCTATTTTTTGTTAAATGAGAATGTATTAAGTAGACATTACAAATGGTAGCTCT